CTGTCCTCCCCTGGATGATGGACAGCAATAAATGTGGCAAGCTTCTTCAGAAGTTAAATTGCTTCCGGATAAGACAAACCACATCCCCCACCTTGTTGATGAAATGCAACGTGTCACAGTGGTACTGTCCATCAACACTTGGACCACTTTTCCATTAGGTGAGGAAGGAAAGCCTTGAAAGCCAAGCAAATTGCTCTTAGCTATAACTTTTCTATATTCATGTTTTTACAAGTTTCCATAGACATTGCCGATCCAGGTGACTGAGTAGGAACAATATAAATGGATGAGAGAATGGAATTTTAAAGAGGATGGCACAGAGTGGGAACTGGATGAAATAGTCTTTTCAAAAACTCACTGATTTGAAGGAGTTCAACTCCATGTCACCAGGAAAAATGACAGAGCTATTCCCAAGAAGTGAAAACTGAGGGCTCATCAGTATATCCTTTAATGTGTTGTTTAGCTGAGAAGGGTGCAAGGGATATGCTAGCGGAAGAAAGATATTCTCAAGTTTCCTAGAAATGTTTGTCTATGGGAGTTTCCAAGCATGAACGTTAGGAAGATGACTCGGTTTGTAAACAGCAGGACATTGAAAATAAGCCTTATATGATACTGGATAAATGCTTTAGAAGGGGCAGGGAGGCTAGTGACTATTTCAGCACCTAGTGGTAGGGCCATTCAGGAAGTTCCTGTTTGACTCTCTTGTCCTGGTTTCACATTCTCTGACCAACATTCTGCTTCTGAATTCCAATCAAACTATAGGGGTTACATGCTCTTATATTTTATGTTTAATATGAAGAAAAAGTCAAGTGCAGTAGGTATCTGCTTCCCAGTGGCCATTCCAGCTACGCAGAAGGCGCCCCCTGATATGTGACAGGGATGGTCTTGGAATCCTCCACGGAGATCTCCAGGACACTTTTTCATGGAGGTACTCAGCAATCCTTTGCAGAAGGTTTCTGGGGAGGACTGCCTTATTTCTTCCAGCACAGTAGAACACTTTCCCATGCCACTCCAGTATTAAATCTGCTGGCATCAGTGCAGTACACAACATAGCAGCATAAGGACCAGGTCTGTACCCACATGGTTGCAGCATCTGCTCCCTTGCCTCCTCCATTACACATAGGGTCACCTGGGAAGACGGGGGATGTTTCCATTACAAGTGCTTGTACCGCAAACGATAGAGCATGTGATCCCCCAACCATGGTGATTTCCGGGCCCCTCAACCACAGTTTCCCTAACATGCCAGTGGTTCGGGTGGCAGGAACAGGCGTTGATCTTGGAATCTGAAAGCCTAGGGTGACTGCTACCAGCAGCATTAATGGAAAGAGGGGTGGGCTTCCTGTGTTCTCTTGTAGCCATAACCCCCACCCCCAAGAGCCGCCTTGGACAAAGACCACAATTTGGGAGGCTTAACGTTGGTCCCTGGTCTCAAAGCAACATCTATGTTGCTGAGAGGAGATGGAATTGTCCACCTGCACTCCCAACAAGGGTTCCCACAAGTTGTTGCAGCACAAGACTCATCGCCCATACCACTGGGCCATACTTTCCAAGCCTTCAGAACATCCTCCACACCAGCGGAAAGGCTTTCCCAGATTAGAAGATGGAAAAGGAGAATGCATGATGACATGTTCAATGAGGTAACGAACGCCTCCAGGACAGCTGATACAGAGCTCAGAGCCTACAGGATTTAATGGTCTGAAAAACTGGATATTGAGAGCATCCCAGGAGCATGAGCGTGCCACACAGGATGAGATGCTGTGGATTATGAAGGACCAGACATGTTGAGGCGTCTGGTTGAGCTACAAGAATAACAGCTTGAGGCTACACTACCTCTGCACAATGGCCTGCAAATATTAACCTGGTCCCAATCCCCCTCCCTCAAACGTTCCAGGAAGCGGTGGGGGAGGGTACTAAGAACAAAAGGTGGCCATTCAAAGACCTTTGATGGGCAAGACTTCTGTGCTTTCACAGACAAGCTGACCTGGTTTCTCCCCTCCCAATTTTATCACTCTGTTTGCCCAAGGTTAAATTATTTTCCTGTTCTTTACGTTTTTTTAGGTTTCTGCAATAAAAGCCAAATTTTCAAGAATGAAATACTCTTTATTTATTCCTAGCATTCAGGTTGGGGGAGGGGAGCAGGGAGGTACAGGAAAACTGATGCAATGGAGGGGATGGTATGGGAAGGCACAACGCAGATAAGCAGCAAACATTACTGTGGCTCATTACTGGAACGGGTTTCAAAGCCTCCCGGAGATGCAGGGCTCCTTGCTGGGCTCTTCTTATTGCCCTGGTATCTGGCAACTCAAAATTAGCTGCCAGCCTATCCACTTCCACGCCCCACCCATGCAGAAACTTCTCTCCCTTTGCCTCATAGTTATTATGGGAGCACACAGCAGGCAGTGATAGCAATGGGGATATTGCTTCCAGGTCTAGTAAGCAAACTGTGTCAGTGACCCTTTAAATGTCCAAAGTCATATTCCCCCACCATTCTGTACTTGCTCGGCCTATTGTTGAACCGCTCCTTACTGCTGTCCAGGTGGCTGGTGTACGGCTTCATGAGCCATGGGAGCAAGAGGCAGGCTGGATCTCCCAGCATCACTATTGGCATTTTAACATCATCAATGGTTATTTTGCAATCGGGAAATAAAGTCCCTGATTGCAGCTTTCTGAACAGATCTATGTTCCTAAAAATGTGTTCATCATGCACCTTTCCTGACCATGCCATGTTGATGTCAGTGAAAGGCCCACTGTGATTCACCAGTGCTTGCAACACCACTGAAAAACATCCCTTTCGGTTTATGTACTCTTTGGCAAGGTGGTCTGGTGCCAAGATAGGGATATGCGTGCCATCTATTGTCCCACTGCAGTGAGGGCACCCCATCGCAGCAAAACCATCCACTATGTCCTGAACGTTGCTTCTCCACTGTTAGAGCAGGTCTCATTTTAGTGCTGCTGTGCTTCAGGGCTGGGGAAAGCACTGCACCAAGTTCCTGGAAAGTGCCCTTCCGCATTCGAAAGTTCAGCAGCCACTGCTCATTATCCCATAGCTGCCTAACCATGAGATCGCACCAGTCAGTGCTTGTTTCCTGGGACCAGAAATGGTGCTTCACCATGTTCAGCTGCTGCGTGGCTGTCAGCAGCAACCGGGCACTGTTTTGTTCTATGGCTTGCATCAGGGCTGCTTGAATAACATCTCAATGTTCTGTGCAGCAGCTCCTGTCTCGGCTCTGCGGGTTAAAGCGTGAGGTGTTTGTAATGCTCACAAGAGTGCACAGCTGAGCGAGGTCCATGCTTCTCAGGCTATGACATACATGTGCCTAAGCCAGACTTTCAAAAAAAGGCGTGAAAAAACATGGGTTGTTTGCCATTGATATCATGGGAGAGAGGAAGGGAGGAAACTGCATCATGGGAGGTTGAAGCCATGGTCCCATCCTCTCCCCATGACAATGTTTTGGTCTCATGCGGCATTGCAAACCCATCCCAAAACCCCATGTGGCTAGTTGAACTGTGGAATAGCTACCTACAGTGTAATGCTCTGGGCATCAATGCAAGCACCACTAATGAGGATGCACTCCACCAACACAATGTGTGGGGTGTGGACACACCCAACTGACTTAATTACTGCAGCGGCTGAATGTCGACTTAAATTAAGTCAACTTAACTTTGTAGTGTAGACATGCCCTTAGAAGTACCCACTTACATCTCTTAGCGTATTCATGAGGTAGCTGCATTAATGGATTTCAGTGAGTTTCGCCCAGGCTTTACACTGAAAAGATTATAACTGTGATGGTGGATGGTGGATCTAAAGATGAGCAATTACAGGGAGATGTGTGATGACTTCTGGAATACCTACCCTTAAAAGATGTATCCTGAAAAAGGATCCTGCTATTTCTATACTCTCTGCATTATATGGACTCATTATGCTAACTGAAAAAAATAGGTAATGTCAAAATGGAAGCTTTTCATTTGTTTGTTCTAGTGGAGTAATTCTTAAAAACACTCTTAAGGACCACACACACAAAATCCCTGACATAAAGCACTAATAAAATGACTTGGAAACATTAAGCATTATCAAACAACAACAACAACAGATTATGGTTATGCTTATATGACAACAGGAGTAGCTGAGCAAAATGATAACTCTCAAGACTTTCATAGACAAAGTGTCAACCACCTTATTTGGGCGTAAACCAATAGAACTGGAAAATAAGGGGAAAAGTTCAGCTTCATGAATAGGGAGAAGTAGTAGATAGAAGGAGGAATGGTGAGAAAGTAAAATTAATAATAGGAAACATTTTCATAAAGCATTTACAGTATGTACTCAGTCTTTTTTTCCAGTTAAAGAAAAGAAAGTTGGTTGCCTACTGTAATGAAAGGGCGCTCTCAGTCACATTCCTTATCAATGAGTAACTTCAATTAACAACCTCCATCACAAAAAATACAGTTGTTATTAGTCTCAGAAGATAAACCAAGGACTAAATAAAGATGGAGACTGAATCATCTTCATTCCTAAAGATTATCCCCCCTCCAGATCAAAGGCACATTAATGGTTAAGTCTGAAGAATTTTGCATTGGAACTGTCCACACTGCACTGGATTTTAGCTTCCAGTGCTACCAATCCAGCACCTTTCAGAAACCCTAGAATTCACAATTTTACTTTTGTTAAAAGAAGCAGGGAAGTGAGATTCAAGCATCTCTAATCTGACTCTGTTGAATAAAATAACTGCCTAGACATTTGAAATGAAATAGTGTTACTTCTACTATCTCTTTGATGAAGCAATGTCATAGCATTGTAGCGTGGTAGTGTAAGGCTGTCAAAAATGTTTTTCAGCCCCACAGTCTTTATGCACATTTTTGTGGAGGGACAAAATAAAAATAATTCTTATCTGAACTTTTTCCCAATACTTTCTGATACACTATGTCTTAAGAAAAATGAGCAGGCACACAAAACCTGAACATTGCAATTCATATTTATGGTCATGATCTGGATATAAAAAACTTACAGTTGCCTTTGTCTGTGCCAAGTACTCTGTCTCCATTTTACTAAGACGTGCATTTGTGTCCTCAAGCAGTTCTTGGATATTTTCTGTGTGTTTCTTCTGAAGATCAAATTTTTCCTTTTCCATTTCTGCCACAGTATTGTGGAGCTATATTTAAAAAAAATATCACCAGGCTATTCAGTGACTTATAAAACTGTACAGCTGACTTTTCTGACCTTTAGAATAAAAACCTTATCATTTCCCCCTTATTAATACATGATAAGATTTTCTGTATCACTGCTCCAGAACTAAAAAGGAAAGAATCTTAAATATGAATACACCAACCAATTTATATTTACCTTTTACAGAACATTGAAAATATATTTGTAGTTTTTGCCATTAATTTTGTTGATCTTGTATTCATTTTAATATTGAAATTGAACCACTTACTAATGTACAAACTTTGTAAATTTTGTACTATACAAATAATTTGCTCTTTCCTTCTTCTAACAGTACGTCTCAAAATGTAGGAGACTGGGGACCCTGGAAACAAAACTATCCACTTACCTGAATTAGAGAGTGTTATCTGTGACGCCAGTCTGAGCTACCACACTATACTGCCCAACATATTACATCTCTACCCCAATATAACGCAACCCGATATAACACGAATTCGGGTATAACACAGTAAAGCAGTGCACACAGGAATATTTAAATGACCACCAAAGTTAAAAAAAACTAATGGATACCCATTATAGGACAGTCCTTGTAGCAGTTACTCAAAAACTTCTTACCCAAACGATGCATGGAACTCCACACAATGAAAGCAACTAACATGATTTTATCATTGGCTCAATATTTACTATCAGGAGAAAAAGAACTTTATTTTATGGCTATCTAGGTCTTCTTTATTAAAAATTTGGGACAGATGAAAAAAAAGCCTTTTCAGTAAGCACAAAATCAGAGAACACCTGATTACATTTTTTTAAAGTAAATGTTACATGAAGCAACATGGTTTTTTGACTCTAAATCATGCTGGAAACAGCCTCTAGTTTGTTCTACAACACTACATCAGCAAAATATGCTGAGTCTCCTGTCAACAACCTGACTCCTTACACAACAAAGGACATTAATGATGTGAGTTTGCAAAGGTTAACTTCTATTCAAAGGGAAAAAAAGGACTTGAGAAGGACAAAATGAAATAACTTTCATATACACTATAAAAATATTCTACCTATCCATCTTTATTGTATTGTCTTGGAACACTGGACTATCACTTTTTTCCCCATGGGGTAAATGGTGCCTTTACACCACTCCTGTGTTTTTAGTGGATTTAAAATTAACATAGCATTTTTGTTTGTGTACTTGTATCATTGATGACAATGGCAGTTTTGGGCATAGCACTTGCTAGTTAACTGTCTATGCAGAGCAAGTATGATGAACTCGGGGTCAAAATACTGTTTTTGTAAGAAACAAAACATTGAGCATTCTTGCCTCAGGTTCTTTGCTATTGGGAAAAACAAAATGTATGAGCAAGTTCTCTTCCAAAGCAAGAAGAAAAACTAACAAGGCCTTTGGCTCATAGGTCCAGGTGCCAAGACATAAAATTAACCACATCCTCTCTGGGAAGGGAGGCACCTTGACTTTGGGGCGACTTTCCTCCCTCTCCAGTGGGTTAACAGTACACTGTCTCAACAATATTGTGGCAAGGCTGGAGCTGTACTGTGATACATCTGTCTCAGCACACATTGATGATGCCTTAAGCCTAAAAGTAAATAAAACTTTTATTGAACAATTTAAGTGTCACTGCACAAATAGCTGTTCAAAAGAGTCATTGTGGCTGTGGGCAGCAACAGTTCAACAGATAAAAAATCCACATCAGGTAAACTGTCACCAGAAGAATGCGACAGGACACCTTCCTTGTATTGCCAGGCAAATGGGTTTGTCAAAAGGAAAAGACAGGGCTTGCAGATAGCCTCCAAAGAAAGACTGGGATTTGCTCGTATGTTTTGGAAGACTAGGTGTAGTGATGGTGGTGGATACAAATTAAAATGGCAAAATTTTGTAGTAGGTCAAATTTACAAAGATCTATTTTAGGTGAAAAATATATTAAGAAAAACTGGCAACGTTACTCTAAAAGTGAGCACAGAGAATACAGAAAAATAATTTCAGAAGTAGCATGTGTCCCTTTTAATTTTTTAAAATTAATCATTATCAATATGATGAATTGTACATTTGATCTTTCTACATTTCTATTGAATGAAAACTTCAGACTTAAAGCAAATAAACTGTTATCCATTACCCTTTTCTCCCAGTCATTGTTCAAAGAATCTGTGCTTTGCTCACACAACTTCTTTAACTCCATAATCTGCTTTTCCTTAGTCTCTCTGACAACTTGTGACTCGCGAACAAGGGTTTGAACTGTCAAAAAAATAAGAAAATAAACCAATTCAAGAGATGCCTTCTTCCAATATTGGCAACAAATGCAATCAGATAACTCCAATCTTCCTTTCTGATATCACTTTCTGATATCTTTGTGCTTTAAAAAATTATTTTGTTTGTGTGATAACTTCCTTACAAATGTAACATTAAATTCCATGCCATAAAACTGGATATTTAAACAAATATGGGATGTTCTCTTTCCACTGTGGTTTTGTTTACTTATAAAATATTTCCTGGTGACTTTTTTTCTCTCTCTGTGAAAACATGAATATACAGAATTCTGTAAAACCTTCAGTAAGTATGTAACATAAGAAAATTAAGAACCTAAAGAAAATATAAAAATATTGCAACTCTAAATACCTTGCATCAAGATTTTATGCACTGCCAATTTTTCTTAAATGTACCAGAACAGCAGAAAAACAATAGCAGTTTACAGGCAATTCTCAAAGAATTTTGAAAAGTGACTAGTGATTTTGAGTGCCCAACTAAAGCACCTGAAAAGATCCTAATTTTCAAAAGAAGCTGGGCATCTACCCTCTGAAAATCAGGCCCCTTAAAGATGTGTCACATTGGGCTCTCAAATATTGAGGCACTCAAAATCACTAGTCACTTTTCAAAATTCTTGAAATAAAGATTTAAATAAACCATAAAGTAGGGCTGGACTAAATACACTGAATAAATAAGTTGCTCAATTCTCCACCCAGAGCATAAAACTAATCTTGAACTTGTTACAAGGTTCCAAACTGATTATTTTAAATTAGTTTTAGAATTCATGTGCCACTAAACTTTCTACTTCTGATTGGGATTTGAGCAGAGGCGTAGCGAGCGCCCTCCGTACCCTCCGACTGGAGGGGGCCCCGCAAGGAAGGGGGCCCCTAAAAGTGGCAAAATAAATACCGCATTCCAGTTTCTGCATTGTAAGGGGCCCCGCCCGGACATATGTTCAGAGGGGGCCACCGTTCGGAGGGGGCCACGTTCTTTGTTGCTACGGCCCTGGATTTGAGATATTAAAGTATTTCTATCACAAGAAACACTGTTTATGTAGTATTTTAGGCCCCTCAAAAACCAGTAAGCACTAAACCTAACAAGAACACGCTGTCTCTTGAAAAATGTAGTATGGAAAATGGAGCACAAAGGGAATCAAATGAGCATCCTAGTCAAATGAAAAATTACGGCCAATCTTTGCCCGCACACTTATGCGCACAACTCCTACTGAAATTCAACAGGAGTTGAACATGTGCACCTAAAGGTAAAATGTGGCCCTTCGTCATTCATGTATATAGTACCACCACACAAAAATAGAAAGCAAAAAAAGTTCTCTCGTAGTATCACCTTTCTTCTCTAGCTTCCTAATAGTCTCCTCAGCTTCATTCTGTTTAGTTTTGTAGAGGGTCTTCAATACCTCAGTTTCATTATTCTTTCTATCCAAAATCTGTAGTAGAAATTCACAACACTTTAACAAACCTGTGATTGAAAAGAAAACTATAACCCACAACCAAAGAACAATATCATATATGTGGATATATAACAGTGGAAGAGTTTTGTATCTATAAAAGAGTAGTAGCCAAGAGATGCTTTGGCCTCATGGAAGTAATGAAAAGTGTGAAATTATCATTTCCACAGTAACTAACTGCAATGGTTATAAACAGAGGATGAATTCAGATGGGAAGCAGGCAACAGAAGGAGATGAACTTCTCAGCAACAAAAATACTACATTAGTGTAAATGTCCTTATAAACAAAGAAAAAGTGAAGAGAAAATGTTACACAGACAAAGAACTGATTCTGAAAAAGAATGATCTTCACAAGGCATCAAGAGCATCATGATTCCACAGGTCTTGAACCTTGGTCCACAGGGTTCCCAATTGACTGTCACCTACCTGCTCCCACCCAGTGGCTCACTACTAACCAACTGAGCAGAAGAGACCACGAAACCTGAAGTTACAACAGGGAGGGTTTCCCTGGGCCTGACTGGAGGAACACACTGAGTTTTGATTGGTCAGGGCTTCCTATTTAAATCCGAAGAGGAAGTTGTCCACACAACTGGGTTCTACCGGGCTGCTACACTGGACCCTGCCTTCTTGCCTGACTCCTCAACCCTGCTTTCCAACCTTGCCCCTGGTTCCTGCTTCCAGGACCTGTTCCTGCCATCCTGTCCTGTTCTTGATTCTTGTCTCCAGTCTCTGAATCTGGCTCTGATACGTGGCTTGACACTTCAACTCCTTGGCTTGATTCTCTGACTCTGGATACAACCTTTAGCTCGACTCCCAATTCTGACTCCGGCTCCGACCCTTGGATTGACTCCCCAACTCTGACTACTGCTCCAACCACTAGACCCCGCATCTTTGTTTCAGCCCCAACACAATATAATGTTGGTGTAACAGTAAATTTAACAGTTTTGAAGACAATCCAAGAATGTGGACATATATTTTATTGATAAATGCTCAATTAATCCCTATGGGATCCCTCCAAAGAACACAAACACACGGAAGAAAATGTAAGATGCAACGTTTTCTTTATAAATGAATTAACACTTCGGCATTCAGTGAGTAAACAATTTTTTTCTTTTCTTTTAAAATACTGTAAGACATCTTACCAAGTGACCCTGCTGTGTCACTCAAAAATATATAATTGGCTATTCCAAAAGTAAAAGCAAGGACAGTATTTTTGGTCCTTACCCTGTTTTTTGGTAGTACTACATTCTCTATGGGGATATAGGGTGCGCATTGATGACCCACTCCAACTTCCTCTCCATGTCTGACACTTTTAATAGTATTCAGTTGTTTTCTTTTTCACTCCCAGCAATACATCTGCCTGTACCCTTAACATCTCATTAAAAACTCCCTCACTCCATTACCTTACCTCTGAAACCATTTATATATTTGCTTGAAATTCCTTTACTATGTTTTGTGGGTCTTGCAAGCCAAAGACAGTACTCTATAACGGAGATTTACTATGTCTTCTATGTACAATGGAATCTACAATCCAAAGGCAAAAACAACTTTTTGTCTATCTTCATTGTCCATAACCACTCTTTGGTTATACATAAACATTATATCTCCATACTCTCATTCTTCAGAAAATCACCAGTTCTCTCTGTCCAGTCAAGTACTTTGATCCTATCAGACTCATTAGCATAATTTGCTAATTTCCCACCTTTGCTGATCTTTACCCCCACCAATTCCTTGCACTGGTATCTCAACCTTCTTCCCTCCCTCCACTGAATGAATCTGGCCATCCCAAGAGAGCACTACTGTTGGAGGCAAGCCACAGAAGGAAAGCCACAGATATGTAGGGATATGGAAGCCTCTCATCTGGACTTCCTTCCTTTCCTTAAACCATCAAGATCATTTTAAAAAAATATTTTACTCTTTTTTCTTTCCACATTCTCATAAAAAAGATTTAAACAACATAAGTTGTCTTGCTATGTTGACAGCAAAAGACAATCCTATATAGGTATTTGTATTTATAAAAATGCAAACACCTCTGTATTTATAAAAATATATTTACCACTGAAATTGTACAGACAAACTAAATTGATAGTATTGTCTAATCTGAATATTAAAATAAAAAGATGTATATTTATGTAAGTTGTTATGCTTCTGGCTGCAGTTTAAGACACTATTTTAATGAATATTATAAACTGAATGTTAAGTTTAACATTTATGTTTAAAATGTTTTAACGCTAATTTATAGTAATTCTAAAAACTCACATCAAGCAGAACGCTGCCACCCCAAAACAGAATGTTACTCTCACCTACATTAAATGGTCTTGTGATGAAAGGATTAATGCAACACTATTTAACTTCTTCTAAAACATACCCAACATGATAAAACAACTTCAAAAGATGGAATCTTGACAGCAGTTTGAAAAAAACAACAACTAAGGAGATGAGAAGGCATCTCAACTATTTCTTATTCTTACAAAGCTGTTTCCTTTAGACTCTCAACTTCACTAGCCAGTTACACTTACAAGCTTTCAGAACAGATGAGTCAAATATGCACCTGACCAAATATTAACATCCTTTATGGGAGTCTTTGATGTGTCATAGTGTTGTGTCAACTGACTTCCTCCAAGTCTGTGACTCAGTTTTGAAAAACAAAACTGAGACACTCAGTAAAGCCTAAATTAGGATAAGGCCCCATGAACCTCATCCTGTGAGGTATTAAGCACTCAACTCCCAGTAACTCCATGGGAATTAAGGACAATCAGCACCTTGGAAGAAGCACTTAGTACCTCAGAGGATGTGACCTTATGTAAAAACACGATAAAAAACATGATACTAAGATAAACAATATAGGCGGTGTCAGTCTTTTTAATCATTTGCAAAGTGATGCTTTGCAACACAGTTAGAAGAAATCCTACATAGCCCAAAGTAACCATTATATTTTATTGCTGTGCAGAATCAAAAGTAAAATAACAGTTTGATAAACTAAGTTAAGCTGAATTGTAAGTGTTCAACAGTTTGCAAATCTATTTATTAAAACAGCCTACTTTTTCAAGCACAGTGTCAAAAATAAAATAGTAAAACCAAGTACTGTTACCATACTGATAAGAAAATGCATTTGGTAGACTCATTTAAACAATTAAAATAAAAAGAAAATGTTTAAGTGGCACTGAACTTTACACTAAAACTAATAAAAGCCAAGGAATACAAATTTACAAACAGAATCCTAGAGTTAAAGCTGGAGTTTCAAGAAAAATAATCAGATGATGGTCTTAGTTAATGACAAAATCACAGGTTTACAGTTTCACCATCAGATGAAGCCACAGAAGTTGCTGGATTGTGAAGCAAAAATTTTTTCTTCAAACACCCATATCTGCAATATCATCACGTAGCACATTAAATAACTTTTCACAGAGACATTTTCCTTTTCCAAGTTCATGCCAGTATTGGAGATCTCCCTTTCAAATCAATTTTTGCAAACTGCAACAAACAACAAAATCTTATTTTAAAGCAAAATGAATGTTAATCTGAAAAAGCTAAAGAAATTAAATTCAGCTCTGAATTATTTATTAGGATCATATTCAATATTATACAGATTCATGTACTGTACATCCCTCAGAAGTAACACCCAAACATTTCTTACCTTCTGAACATCAGCATCATGCTTCTGCTGTAATTTAAGCTTTTCTTCATGAAATTTAGCTTCCATTATTTTTGTTTTCATCTCCAGCTTTAAAGGAAAAAGTATCTCATAGTTATTAATTCACTTTCAGAATAAAATTATATTAAGGCCCTTCAGTGATTATTTACTTTCCATAATTAGAAAACTAGTTCTTTGCTTGGGGAGCAGAGGGGTTGCTACTCGATAAATGATACAAAAAAATCCAGGTACAGTTTTTTGAAGTGTTTTCATACCATTTATTTCATACAAACATTAACAGTTTCAATCTGCACCCACTGTTTAAAAATTTTTAGAAGATTTCAGCTGGTGAAAAACAACAATTACTGTCCAAAAAGCTAAAATTATATTTTTAAACAAAACAGTGTGGAAAAAAAAGTTTTAATATTTGTGATAATGCACATAAATCATGCTAAAAGCTCTTTTATCTATTAGGCAGGTGTTTCTCCAATTTATACAAAGGATGTCCTTCAGCTCTCACTCATGTTTATTTTTGTAGGTTTCTATTATTCACAGATTTTATATTCTGTACACACTTCCTTTTTTAAAGATTCTTTTACTTACAAAATCATTAAGATTAATGCTGGCAAATGAGCAAGCTGGAAATATCTTGTTTTTGCCTTTTTATTTGTTTATTGTAGTTTATTTAAAAGCTTCCATGTAACATACCAATGATATTGCTGTTCATTGTAAAAAGGCCAAGTTGTTCACCTAAGATGATAAGATGATAATTTAAATCTCTCATACATTTTTATTATGGCCTTTGAAAAGCATTGTCAGAATTATATCTCCACGTAGCTATGATTTTGTGTTTACCAAACAACTTTCTAAAATGACCAATGATACTTTGGACCATACTGTAGCTCTCCCACTTAAAACTAGTTACTTCTGCTGCTCAGGGAGCAATGCAGCCAGAAAGCTGACCCCAACATAGTCAGCCCTACAACCTCCGCTGTTCATAAGTGACACATCAGGCTGGGTCATGGGTGGCAATGGCTGGCCAGCAGAACGTTCTCTACTGGACTGTTCCCACTAGCACAACTTAGGGTACATCTATACTTACCTCCGGGTCCGGCGGTAAGCAATCGATCTTCTGGGATCGATTTATCGCGTCTTGTCTAGACGCGATAAATCGATCCCGGAAGTGCTCGCCGTCGACGCCGGTACTCCTGCTCCGCGAGAGGAGTACGCGGAGTCGACGGGGGAGCCTGCCTGCTGCGTGTGGACCCGCGGTAAGTTCGAACTAAGATACTTCGACTTCAGCTATGTTATTCACGTAGCTGAAGTTGCGTATCTTAGTTCGAAGTGGGGGGTTAGTGTGGACCAGCCCTTAGACCAACATTTAAGCTGTTCTAAGAGATGCTGAATTGCCACGACTCTCCTCAGCCAGCTGAATACAGGATCCCAGCCACGTTCCCTCCACCCACAGCTTGGCTGGACCCACAGATTTGGCCTCTTGTGTTTACGACATGATGGATAAACTGTATTATATAAAAGAATATGATTGAGATCCCCACATTAGCCTTGCAAGAGCAGAATTGGGCCAGGTGGGCCCAATCAGCTAATTAGGCTTCAAATGGGGGTCTTTTGGCTGGAGGCAGCTAATTAGGAACAGGCTCATCTGTGCAGGAACAGGTGGGACCTATAAAGCCAGGAAGGGGGCTACAGACTGGGGAAGCTGCAGAGAAAAGGCAGTCACTCCCTGGGGAGAGAGTTCTTGGAGCTAGTACACCTAGACAGAGAAGTGGAACCAGAGTGTAGGAAGCAGCCCAGGGAAGGAGTATTGAGGACAGAGAGAGGAAGCCCAGAACTGTTGAACTGAGGGTCCCTGGTCAGGAACCTGAAGTAAAGGGCAGGCCCAGGTTCCCCCACCAGCCATTGAGGGAGTGGCACTGGGGCAGTGAATGGGAAGACCGCCTAGGACTGTTGATGGACCGACTGAGTGACCAAGCCAAAGGGCTAAGTGACAAAGAAGATGTTGCAGGTCCTGGAGCGAGAGGAGCTGCAGACCAGAGTGATGGCATGCAAACTGCGGACGGGGCATTGGCCTCCAGAGCTAATCCCCAGAGTGATCAGGTGGAGGCACCATACTGGCAGTGAGTGGAGCACCCCGGGACAAAGAATCAAATTCTTAATTCATTACATTTATTTTTCTGTATTTTCTTTGGTTTAAATCAACACAATATTTCAAGAATTGATCTAATTTTATTGTATGTATATAAAGATACATATTGAATACAAACACGCTGCTATCAGTTCATTATAACACGTAGATATATGAATACAGATATTTTTGTAAATGTATATAGAAAACATCCACATACTAAAAGATCACAACTTTACTGCACTGAATTTAAAAAGAAAACCCTATGGGCAATAGATCCTGTCAACAGTTGAAAGTAGGAGAGGCAAGTGCAACAAGCCCTTCCATCAAGGACTCTCCACATTTAAGTACCAATACATCTAACTGTACTATGCCTAAGAAGGACATCTAACCCAAAGCCCAAAATAGGTCTGAAGTCCTATGCAAGCTACTATACTAGAAAACATCTCCAAGTCTTTTGCCAACAGAGCCAACTCTTTTCAACACAGATGGGTGGACTGATGTCTAATCCAAAGGAAAGGAAATCTATTCCCCTGATTTTCCAGGTATCACAGACTCTTGTATTCTCAAGACAATCAAATTCTTAGACATTTCATAATATGCACTTGGTTCCATATATATGTTAAACAGGCTCTCTCACTGGCAACTAGTTTTCCCCAATTAGCAAGAGTGCATTGTAGCCTAGTGTACTAATTCCAGCAGAGTTTCCTTTCAAGTGTAACAGGACCTGGCACTACTATGCAGAAAAGGATTCTAAACTTCATCTGAAGAGGACTAGCAAATGAATGTATCCAGAGATACAGTACGAAAAACTCTGAAAATGCTTGCTTAGGATAAGAGAGAGAAGGCTTATTACTCAAGGATAGAAACATTTGAAATACCTTAGGTAGACTAAAATTTCCAAATCCTTTTCCATTTTAGACAAAATGGTTAAACTATTCTTACCTGACAAGTCCCAAATACTCATCATTCTCCATTTCATTTACAACAAATAAAGACATTATCCAAACAGTGCAGACAAGGTGGGATTTTCAAAAGTTAGATGCCCAACTCTCATTGGCAGAAGGGTGCCTGACTGCCTTAGGTACTTTTTAAAATTCTAGTGTTTTTCTGCCCTGCCTGCTCTGCTGACACCATGTGTGATGTCATCACCAGATACTGGGGAACTCCACATCAGAGACACAAGTAAAACAGGGAACCTATGTTTCAAATATTTAATTAACAAGTTTTTAAGGCGGCATATATTTTAATAATTAGGGGTATCAGGATTTTCTTTTGCCGGGAAAGGGTGTTTTTTAAAGTTTATCTTTGAAGTTAGACTAATCCTGCACTCATTGACTTGTTGGAAAAATTGTGGTCATAATATTTAAGATTATGAGTTTGATACTCAGTTCTATGTCCATGAGGCATAAGTACAGCTGTATTATCTTCCACAGCCATTTTGAAACCAAAAACTCAACTATTTAATGTGATAAACCTAAAAATATTTAATTTTTTGAATTACTGACAGCTTTTCCCTTACATAGAGATGCACAGTGGGCCAGTACAAAGACTATACGCCACTTAATTCCTACTTATGTCCTATTCTAAAGGCTTGAATAGGATTTTAAATTGTGCATATGCCTGGGGCAAACCCTTAGAGTAGGGATGAACTTTTACCTTGACACACTTTCATCAATGATTTGGTAGTAAATATAAAATTGAAGGGTGACACAAAGATTGACGTAATGGCGAACAGGGCAGTCATATAGATAGGTTTGGCAGGATTCAATTTATATTTGTTGGCAAACCTCTATTTTGGCACAACATTGAAATCAACCAGAAAAATATCAATTGGTAACAGGTGTCGTGCAGCCTCCCCCACACCTTGCACCTGCAGGGATTGGGTGGCACCAGCCCTGCAGTCATAGGAATGAGGGAGAGGGAACATGAGAGCAGAGCTGCAGAGGGCTCCCTGCGTTGCCACAGGGCCAGTAACACCTGATTCCAGGAGGTGCAAACTGCAGGGAAGGCTGAGACCCTGGGGAGGCAGAGCAGACACCCCTGGCAAGGACTACAGAGAGTAGGATGAGTCCCTGGCTACGGGGAGACCAACCTGCTACTGAATGACTCCGTCCATGAGCACAAGCTGTTCAGGAGCAGGGTCTGTGCTCAGACCTCCCCACACTTTACACCTGCAGGGGTCACCAGCCCCGCAGCCAGGCAAGGAGCCCTTTGCAGCTCTGCTGTCACGGCCCTGCTCTGTCACTCACCAGCCAGGAATGTGGAACCATCCATGGGAAGGAACTGTTCAGAAGCACCTTGTGGACAGGGCTCATCCTCCTCTTTGCAGTCCTGGCCATGAATCTCTGCTATGCAGGGCCAGGACCAGAGCCTTCCCTGCAGCTTGCATCCCAGTGTCTTGGGATGCAAGCTGGGCTAAGCATCCCTGGGCTAAGCATGCGTGAGGCAGGTTAGAGCAAGGGAAGGGGCTTTCCCCCTACATTTCGAATACTCTTAACTATCTCAAAGAAAGGAATATCTCTGAAATTTAAAATGCGCTTAAATGAGTCAAGTTAACTGCAACTTTTACTTACTAGCATGTTAATCTCCTATCACTAAATTAAACTGGTGATAGCTGACAGTATTTCTGTGCCAGCTCCTCTCATCTACCAGCAGTTTCTATGTCTTAAATTGTGTTATATTTTATAGGTCTAATATATATTGCAAACACAAAATATGATACAAACAATGTCATGGTAACCCTTTCATGTGTTGCAGAAAGAAAGCAGATGAAAACAATTTAAACCTCAGTGCATTCATCTTCATCAGAAAAGCAATTGTTGGTTTATGTACTGATGTCCATGTACACTAACAGCTTACATATGGATTCATCTCCTTATTCCTAATTAAGAGGTAGCTTAGAACAGAAAATACACGATGCACTATCCCTGAGACAGAAAAAGAA